AGGAGGCCAGCGTTAACCCTTAACCCCCAGCGCTGAGTCCCTCCCAGCCCTGAATGGGATTTCCATTGTCGCCTCTTCGGCAGGCTGCATGAATGTGGAAACCGCAGTCCCAAGAGAGGAAGTGATTTCAACGAGTCACCAGGACTAGGAGGACAAGTGGCCGGAACCCAGCGCCCCTCAGCCCCAGCCCAGGCCTCGGGGACCCACCGATCTTCAGCGAGGCCGCCCGGGACCGGCCCCCGCGCGCCGCCCGCCCCGCCGCCCGCTCACCCTCCGGCTTGGTGTCGCCCTTCGCGTCTGCCAGGAGCAGCCAGCCCAGAAGGGCCAGGAGCAGCAGGGGTGGCATGGTCGGGATCCGCGGACGACCGGCCGACCGGAGGCGCTGGCAGGACTGGAAACTTCGCGGCCCGGCCGGCGAGGCTGCCACGCACTGGCCCCGCCCCGGGGGCGGCGCCGCGGGTCCCCACCCCCACCCGCCCCACCCCCACCGCACCCCCATCCCGGCCGGGCGCCGTGCGGAGCCCGCGCGAGGTGTGGCAGCGCCTGCGCCTGTGCGCCCCCGGGTCCTGCCGCCGCCGCCGCCCGAGGTGGGAGCGGACGGGGCCACAAGGGGCCGCATGGCTGCACCCCGGATTTCAGGACCCATCCCCGGAGTCCGGGCGTGCGCTCCGGGAAAGCGGGGTTTGTCACGGCGCCTAATCCTGGGGGATGACGTTGGTGCCTGGAGCACATAGGACAGCCCCGCTGGGGAGCCTGAAAGTCACGTTTCGGGGTCTCCTCGGCAGGGGACCTCCTGGACAGGGACATGGCCGAGCTTGGGGTACCCCGCTGCGGCCCTGCTGGCTCTGGAGATGGGGAAAACCCACTCCCTAACTCCCCGGGTCAAGGGAATCAGTTAGAACCCCAAGGCCCAGCCAGAATTGCTCTGGAAGGGTAATTGCTGGGCCACAAGGTAGATAACGCAGGAATGAGTGAGACAAATTAGAGCCTCTTAACAGACTCCCACAGCCCAGCCCGCAGTCCCAGGGGCCTAAGGTCAGCTCCGGGGAATCCACCTCTGGGCAGAAGCCAGCCTCCCTCGGAGACTCAGACAGCAGCCAGCCCCTCTGGCCGAGTCCAGAGCAGTGGGTGGTGGGTGGAGGAGAGACCTCTATGCAAATAACGATGCAGAGATGGTGGCTGAAGAAGCTGGATATACAGTGGTGCCCCTCGTGAGGCAGACATCCTCTTAAAAAGGGATGGTGGCCCACGTCTGCAATCCTGGTTCTCTGGGAGGCTGAGGCAGGAGGATCACTGCAAATGCAGGGCAGGCTACACAATGAATTTAAGGGCAGCCTAGAATATATGGCGAGACCCTCTGTCAAATTTAAAAATAGAAAAAAAGGCTGGAAGTTTAGCTCAGCAGCACAAGTGCCTGCCCGGCAAACACAAAGTCATGAGTTCAATCCCTGGTATAAAAAAAAAAAGAAGAAGAAAAGAAATTCACAACCAAATGCTTACATGCTTACAGTGATTATTTCTAGGTTGGTAGAATATGTGTAATTTTATACATAATTTGATGTATTATATTGGTTTCACATTATGTCTAGGTAATTTTTATTTTTTTAAAAAATGAACATACAGCTGGATGGTAGCACATGCCTGTAACCCCAGCTCTTGGGAGGCTGAGGCAGGAGGATCGCTGTGAGTTTGAGGCCAGCCTGGGCTACAAAGCTAGCCTGAACTGCACAGGGAGACCTTGTCTCAAAAAAACAAAACAAAACAAATATATATATATATGTATTATTTGTACAATTCAATGAAAAGGAAGGAGGGTTTTTTTGTTGTTGTTTTTGTTTTTTTAAGGAAGGAGTTATTTTGAGAAGATGCAAACAAGACGCACACCTCTTTGCCTCCATCTGCTCACTGCACAGATGGGGCCAGTGGGACCAGCTCGAGGCTCAAGGTCACAGGCCCTGCTCAGGGAAGAGGCACAGTCCGGTAGGGGAATGCTGCAGCTGGGACAGGACTTGGTCCCAGAGCCACTGGATGCTCTGGCTTTGGGAGGAGGCAGATGGAGGAGGAAATGCGTGCGGAGGAGTGGGGGAAACAGCCTGTTTGGAAAGGGCTCGCGCCTCAGCCTCATGTTAGACTGCACTAACTCCCTCTGCACAGGACAAAATAGGGCTTGGTTCTGTGAAGAGGCTCCCTGATGTCACATGGCACCCTTTGGACCTAGCTCTAACCTCCTGTTTGCTAGAATCCCAGGAGACCCTCCCTTCATGGTCAGGTTCCACAGATACAAAAACACGCTGTGGCCGGGCCGTGGAACAAGGCCTGTCCTCAGGATCATCACACATCAGGCGGGAAGTCATCTTGGAAGCAGCTGTCCCCTCCGCAGAAAGGGCTCTCTCTGGCCAGGCCTGCCCTCCCCGCTTTGGTATCCACTTCCGGTCCCCTTCAGCAAACTGCTGGAATTTGAACCCGGGCCAAGCTTCGCCTCCTCTAGCAGGGCCTGTCTCTTTAAGCGGCAGTGGCTGCCGCCCAGATGTTGCTCCTAGAGCGTGCAACACGTGCTGTAGGCAGTTAAAGGGGCAGCGCTCAGCTGTGCTAGGAGATGCAGGGGCTGCCCGGCGTCAGCAGTGCCCGCTGGGAGGGCTTCTTGTCTTCCAGCCTTGTAGTGGACAGGAGGAGCTATGCCTTTAGAGGGACACATTCTCTGTGCTCTCAGATCGGCTGTCACTTTCCCATCAGCACGTAGCACCTGTAATAATAGGATTTCCAAGCTGTTCCCTTAAGTAGAAAAAAAAAAAAAAAAGAGGGTGCAAGTGTATATCACATGCTATAATTTCTTTTCCTTTTTTTTTTTTAAATTTTTTTTATTTTTGAGACAGAGTCCCACTTTGTAGACCAAGCTGATCTTGAACTCACTATGTAGCTCAGGCTGACCTCAAACTCATGGTGATCCTCCTGCCTCAGCCCCCCAAGTGTAGGTTTACAGGCGTGTGCCACTATGCCTGGGTCTGCACGCTATAATCTCTGTCCAAGGAACAAAATAAAGATCTGTGTTTATCTTTGTAAGCAAGTAGAGTGTCTGGAAGAGTATCCAAGAGACAGTTAATGACAGGTGGGGAGAGGGACAGATTCACAGGGGCCCCAGGAGAGGAAATGACTTAATAATCATCCTTTACTCTTTTGTGCTTTTTGTATTTTGTATCATGTAGCTGTTTGGCATTTCTTAGCCAAAGTTAGTTCAACAGCTAAAGGGCAGTGTAAGCCACATGGCGTGATACCTAGTGTAGTGTGATGCTCTTGTTTTAGACACAGGGTCTTGCTGTGTAATCCAGGCTGCAAATCCCAAATTTGCAGCACTTCTGCCTCAGCCTCCCAAGCACTGGCATTACAGGTGTGTGCCACCATGCTTGGCATCACTATGGATATTTTGGTGATATTTATTTAGAGAGGTCCTGCTGTTTTACCCAGGCTGGCCTCAAACTCCTGGGCTCCAGCGATCTTCCCACCTCATCCTTCCAAGTAGCTGAGGCTACAGTCAGGCACCGACACTGTCAACAGCTAATCTTTTTTTAGATAAAAGGTAGCTGGGCTGGGCAAGGCAGCAGGGTGCTAGAATCTGTGCCTATGGTGCCTGAGGGCTTGGGCTCCATTCCTAGAATCATACACACACACACACGCATATACACATGCACACGCATATACACACACACATGAAGCACACACTAGAATTAGGGTCACCCAGACAGACATCTTCCAGCAGGCACTGGCCCTCAAGTTCTGCAGACAATTCAGGGTCTGCCCACAGCCCAAAAGAAGCCACCTCAAGTGACCATTTAATTTCCAACAACTGCGAAACCCTATCTGGCTTCGGAATGTCCTGAAACCAGAGTGGAAACAGTCGCTCATTGTGCAGCCCTGGGCTCAAGCTGAATTTTTTTACCAAGATCCAAAAGCAAAAAAAAAAAAAAAAAAAATTTTTTTTTGAGACAGGGACTAGCTTTGTAGTGCCTGCTACCCTTGAACTTGTATCCCAGGCTGGCCTCAAACTCCAAAGGATCTTCCTGCCTCAGCTTCCCTGTTTCTGGGATTTCAGACATATGCCACCATACCCAACTGAAAAACTTTTGTTGTCATTGACAATTTACAACTTAAAGACATTGTTGATACAGAAACAACTCCACGAATATTCAGCCACCTTATCTTTGGCAAAGGTGCCAAGCACTTTCACTGGAAGAAAGATTAGTCTCCTTAATAAATGGTGCACTTACACATGCTGAACATTCAAGTTAGACCCATATCTTTCACCATGCAACAAACTAATATCGAAATGGATCAAAAAGCTAAATATTAAAACAAAAACATGCATCAATAAAATATGATTAAAAGAAGAGAGTGTGTGACAGACCTGGTAAAGCACTCCTGTAATCCTAGCACTCAGGAGGCTGAGGCAAGAGGATCACCAGGAGTTCAGGAGTTCAAGGCCAGCCTGAACTACATAGGGAGACTCTGCCTCAAAAAAAAAAAAAAAAAAAAGCGTTTGAGAAACTGACAGTCCTGGCCTGGACTCCTGCTCCCATCTCGCGTCTACGGGGCCAGACAGATCTGGAAAAGTTGTCAACAAAATATTTCCTAGGAAATCGTTTCAGTGGGAATTTCTGTTCTAGTTTGTTTTTTTCCTTCCAACTAATGATCATCAGTTTTACAGAAATGACAATTCTTTTTACTTTCTTATTTTAGGGCTGTTGAATTCATCAGTAGCAAACAGGCCCCAACACATGTTCAGTTTGGCTGGCTCTGTGCGTGCTATTTTTTTTTTTTTTAAGCGAATTGGACGCAGCCCGCACACCCCAGCCCCACCCCCATTCCACCCCCGCCCTTGGACTTCACTGTTTAGAATTCTAGAGCGAGTGTCCCCGCCCCCCGTGGCTCCGCCTCCTTCCGCTCCGCCCCTTGCCTCGGCCCGTCCCCTTTCTATTGTCGCAAAACGCTCGGCGGCGGTTTACGGCCCGTGTCGTTTGACGGCAGGAGGGAAGTCGCGGTAGAGGAAGAAGTAGGGGCGGCTGCAGAGGCGGCCGTCGCGTTGGGCGTCGCGATCCCGGTGCGGCAGTGAGGCGGGGGCGGCCGGGCCGGTGGGCTGGGCGGCAGGCCCCGCGGCCGCCCCCGAGCCGTCGCCCGCGCCCGGCGGCCCGATGTGGCTGCAGCAGCGGCTGAAGGGGCTGCCGGGGCTGCTGTCGAGCAGCTGGGCCCGCCGCCTGCTTGTTCTGCTCGGCCTCTTGCTGCTGCTGCTGTGGTTCGCGGGCTCCGGGGCGCGGAGGGCGGCGGGCGGCCTGCACCTGCCGTCCTGGGCCCGCGGTGAGCCGGGCGCCGCCGAGCCCTCCGCCTGCCTGGAGGCGGCCACGCGCACCTGGCGCGGCCTTCGGGAGCGCGGCCAGGCCGTGTCGCTGGGCCCCGGAGTGCCAGCCCTGGTGGGCAACGGCTTTCTGGCGCTGGACGTGGCCGCCAACCGGCTGTGGGTGACTCCTGGGGAGCGAGAGCCCGCCGTGGCGCCGGATTTCGCGCCCTGGGTGCAGTTGCGCCCACTGAACGCGCTGGCCGAGGCGAGCGAGACGGTGCTGCTTTTGCGGGAGGGGCTGCTTCGCCGGGTGCGCTGCCTACAGCTCGGCGCTCCGGGCTCTGGCCCTGCTGCCGCCGGCGCAGGTCCTGCCTCGGCCTCTGGCCTCGCCGGCGGCGCGGGCCGCGACTGCCTATTGCTGCAGGAGGACTTTCTGGCACACCGGGGCCGACCCCACGTCTATCTGCAGCGCATCCAGCTCAACAATCCCACGGAGCGTGTGGCCGCACTGCAGACTGTGGCTCCCACTACCGGCCCGCTCCCCAAGGCCTTCACCAGTACCCTGGAGAAGGTTGGAGACCATCAGTTCCTCCTCTACTCGGGTCGGTCCACCGCCTTGCCCACGGGCCAGGTGCACCTGGTCGTGGTGGCCGCGAAGAAGCTTGTGAATCGGCTCCAGGTGGCTCCCAAGTCGCAGCTGGACGAGACAGTGCTGTGGGTGGTGCACGTCTCCGACCCCGTTACTCCCCAGGTGCTCAAAAGCAGAGCTGCCAAGGAGCTCAAGGCGCTCCAGGACTTGGCCCGGAAGGAAATGCTAGAGCTCTTGGAGATGCCGGCGGCTGAGTTGCTTCAGGACCACCAGCACCTCTGGGCTCAGCTCTTCAGCCCAGGTGAGGCTAGGCAAGTGCTTGGTGCACAGTACATAACCTGCATGCAAGGGTACCTGGTTCGCCTTAGAGGTGTCCTTAGAGGTCTGCAGAGGTGACACCGAAGGCTACAACTTGGATGTTGCATTTGATTGGAGGCTGAATCTGTGCCCAGCCACTTAATAGCTGTGTGACCTTGAATTTGTTGTCACTGCTACCTGGGCAGCCGTGTTTACAGTGTTGCCTTCCTCTGAAGACTTTTGTGTGGTTTAAAGGAAAAATTGACGGTAAACATTGGATCTTACTTATTCTTAAGTTGAGCCCTGATTGGAGTGGAGCTTTTTAGTGTCTTTTTTTTTTTTTTTTTTTTTTGTCTTTTTGAGGCAGGGTCTCTCTATGTAGTTCAGGCTGGCCTTGAGCTCACTTTGTAGCCCAGACTGGTCTCGAACTCGAAACAGTTCTCCTGCCTCAGCCTCCTGGGTGCTGGGATTATAGGCATGAGCCACCACGCCCGGCTTTTTAGTGTCATTCTTTTTTTTTTTTTTTTTTAATTTTTCACCACTATACTAACGAGGAATTTTTAGTGTCATTCTTAAAGGGGGGACCAGCAGGGCCATCGCAGACCTCTGCTGTCCTGGAGGTCTCTCTGGGCCAGGCCTGGCCTTCTAGGCCTGACTCCAGTAAAGTTGAGGTGTGCCTTGCGCTTGGGCTTGAGCTTGGGGACCCCTCTCAGCATGTTGGACTCATTCCCCCAAACAGAAACTTCTCTCCCTGGGCTGTGAGAAAGAAGGCTTTTGGTTTCCAGGGCTCCAGTTGTCTGGATTCATGTTTGGTTGCTCAAACAATGTGTAATTCATTCAAGTATTTATTGACTGCTTCTGGCCAGAGTTGGAACAAGTGAACAAAGCAAAGTTCCTGATTCCTGGTGCTGCTCAAGTAGGTTAGGAGGCAGGCAGAGCAGAAAAGCAAAATTTAAGACAGCTTGTAGAATGAGTTGAAAATACGGGGGAGGGTCAGTGGCCTGGAGGGGGGCACTTGGCTTAGCCCCATCCTGGGGAGTGGGGCTGTCCGAGAAGGAGACACTAGGCTGAGGCCTGAGTGGTGACCAGCAGCCAGTCCTCCCGGTGGGAGGAAGCCTGGCAGGCTGGAGCCTGCCCTGGAGCAGAGCTTGTTAGGCGAGTGGCTGGCTTCGAAGGCCTTGGCAAGGGCTGAGTTTTATTCTAAGAGGAAGGGGAAGATGGCAGAGATGTGGTCTGATTGCATTTGAGAGGATCCCAGCTTCTGTGTTCGGAGTAAGTGTGGAGAGCCCCCGAGAGTTTCTAAGTGTGGAGAGCCTGTGAGTTTCTGTGGGAGCCCAGGCAAGGGAGAAGGTAGCTGGGACCAAGATTGTGAAGTGGGCGAATCCCGATGCTTTCGAGGTGTCCCTGTGGGACAGGCGTTGGCCACAGGAGTGAGAATTTGCAGGCTTGCACGGTTGCTGGGTGACAGCTTAGGGAAGGCTTGGTTTGGGACTGAGTCTGTGCCCTGTCAGGTTCACATTGCCTGTCACGTGTGTCCAGCTGGAGACACCCTGGGGCGGGCAGCTGTCTGAGCCTCCAGTTCATTCAGATTTGGGGGATGTCTGTATGACACCCCATGTCAGTCTTTATGTACCAACCCAAATTGTTGTAAAATTGGGAGATGTTGTTTAAAACTGCAGGACTGGTCAGAGGGATAGAGAAATGGCCAGGGGTGTTCGGGCACGGGTGACAGGCCTGGCATGAGGGGCCTGACCATCCAGTTGGGGCCAGGTCATGGCCAACAGTGTGGTGTCCCAGCTCTGCGAAGACCTTACTCCCTTGAATGAGTCTTCAGGTTTTAGGCCCATGGGCTCCAGTTAGTCATGTTAGATGGGGAGGATGACCTTTCCCACCCTGGAGGGGACCAGCACTGCAACTTCATTAGGACGCAGACTGCTTTTGGTTTTTTGAGACAGGGTCTCGCTATGGAGCTAGGTTGGTCTCAAACTCATGGCAGTCCTCCTGCCTCGGCTTCCTTCATGGTAGGATCACAGGCGTGCGCCACAGTCTGACTAGGACCCTCCCGCCCCACCCTTGTCCCCCTCTCTGGCTCTCCCTCCGGCCCTTCCTGCTAACCCACAGTCTGGTGTATGGTGTTCCAGGGGTGGAAATGAAGAGGATCACCGACGCCCACACGCCGTCTGGCCTGACTGTGAACCTGACGCTGTACTACATGCTGTCCTGCTCGCCAGCCCCGCTGCTCAGCCCCTCCCTGGGCCGCCGGGAGCGAGAGCAGATGGAGGCCACGCTGAGCTACGAAGACCACTGCTTCAGCGGCCACGCCACCATGCACGCCGAGAACCTGTGGCCCAGCCGGCTGGGCTCGGCGCAGCAGATCCTGCAGCTCTCCGACCTGTGGAGGCTGACACTCCAGAAGCGCGGCTGCAAGGGCCTGGTGAAGGCGGGCGCGCCGGGCATCCTGCAGGGCATGGTGCTCAGCTTCGGGGGGCTGCAGTTCACCGAGAACCACCTGCAGTTCCAGGCCGACCCTGACGTGCTGCACAACAGCTACGCGCTCCACGGCATCCGCTACAAGAATGACCACATTGACCTGGCCGTGCTGGCGGACGCCGAAGGCAAGCCCTACCTGCATGTGTCCGTGGAGGCCCGTGGGCAGCCCGGCAAGATCTACGCCTGCGAGGCTGGCTGCCTGCAGGAGCCGGTGGAGCTGACCTCGGCACCGGGCGGCCACACCTTCTCAGTCATGGTGACACAGCCCATCACCCCGCTGCTGTACATCTCCACCGACCTCACGCACCTGCAGGACCTGCGGCACACGCTGCACCTCAAGGCCATCCTGGCCCACGACGAGCACATGGCCCAACAGGACCCTGGGCTGCCCTTCGTCTTCTGGTTCAGTGTGGCCTCCCTCATCACCCTCTTCCACCTCTTCCTCTTCAAGCTCATCTACAACGAGTACTGCGGGCCCGGAGCCAAGCCCCTCTTCAGGAGCAAGGTAGGCTGTCCCTGTCCCTCGGGTCTGAGGCCCCTATCCACTGAGTCCAGGGGCCAGCTGGGCCAGGGGCACCCTGGGCAGAACGGTACTAAGACCAGGCCACAGCTTTCAGCCACAGAGAGAGGAGCGAGTGTGGTTTGAGAGGCCATCCAAGCGTGACTTGGAGCAGGGCACGGTGGCCTGTGCTTGTCGTCCCTGCACTTGGGAGGCCGAGGCAGGAGGATTGCTGAGAGTTCAAGGCCAGCCTGGGCTACACAGTGAGTTCAAGGCCAGCCAAACTACATAGTAAAACCCAGTTGCAAAACTGAAAAAAAGCTATGTCTGAGAAGTGATCCTAAGAGAGGGGACCAGGGAATTGAAGGACAGATGCATCGACTGCCTTCTGTCCCCCCCCTGAGGGCTGCACGATGCCTCCGAAGCCAGTTCCTCAGGGCTGCGATGGTCACTCAGGCCCTGCTGACAGTCAGGACACATTCAATGGCCCCCCTTACTCGAAACATCATTGCCCCCAGGAAGCTGTGACTGACCACAGCTGCTGCAGGACCGTCCCTTGCTTGGTGCTGGGGGCCAGGCTGCTATCTGTGGTGAAGCCGCCTTTTGCCTGCCAGCGGCTGCCTGTGCCACCAGGACTTAGGAGAGGCAGGAGGGGCTGCTGTGGCGGGGTGTGCTGGAAGGGGCCGAGCTTTTACCCACTAACTCCTCTCCTCGCCCACCCTCCTTCCCACCATTCCTTCCTCCCCTTGTCAAACTGTAGTGACACAGGGAGATATCCAGTAACAATAATAATAATAAAGGCCTGGGGATAGTTCGGTGGCAGGGCTGCTGGGTTCCGTCCCTAATACTTGTAAGTGAACGGATGGGTGGAAGTGAGCATCCCAGGCCCAGGCAGGATGCCCTGTCCCCGCCGCAGAGCCCTGTCCCCAGGGCAGGGCTTGGGAGAGGAAGCCAGACCTTAGGAGGGAGAACAGCCCGCCCTGGGTCACCCGGGGCCGGTCCTGGGGTGCCTTGCCCACCGTGTGGACCTTGGTCCTCCACACAGTCAGAGTGACAGCAGCCAGGCCGGGAGCTGACCACTCCTGGGGTGGCTGCGCAGCCCACGCTGACCCTTGTTTCTCCGCACACAGGAAGATCCCAGTGTCTGAGGGACGCAAGCGCCACTCAGCCACCATTTGCACAGACAGCACGGGGCGCCCAGCCGCCGCGGGGTCCCCGGAGCACCCACCCTTTGTGCCTTGTCCGGGACAGCGATGCCGAAGCCCTGGTGGACGTGAGTTGGCATCGGAAGGACGAGGGCCACGCGGGGAGGAAGGGACCCCGAAGAGGAACCCACCCGTGGGGAAATACTTGAAGTGCGCCCCTCCTTCGCTCGCCCCGTCCCAGGGAGCACCCCTGGAAAAGCCTCGTGTCAGAAAACCTCGCTCTCCTCCTCACTTAATGAGTCCCTTCTCGAATGGGTTTCTAATTTATTTTTGTCGGGGTCTCGCTGGGTAATGAGTGCTGGCAGCAACGCCGGCCCCAGGGCCTTGGCCTGCTCTGGGGCACAGTGTGGCCCTGCCGTCACCTGGGGCTGTCAGCCGGGCTTGCACGGGAGTCCTCTCATGAGCCTGCGGGCTCCTGTGGTTTTGTACTTTTGGCCTCGGGGGTGTTTAACTTTCTAGTGATTGGTGATTGTTGGGTTTTGAAATACCAAAGCTTTTTTGTTCTGTTTTTAAATAAACTTCTTTCAGATTTCCCTGACTGGTCTGCGCATGGTTTAAACGCGTGGGCCCTTTGATGCCATCCTCTAGGCTCCCAGACTCTGGGTGGTCTGAAAGGGGACCCTCGGCCTCACTGCAGCTTGGGGTGCTGACTCCACTCCCAAGGGGCGACTCAAGCTGTGCCCCAGCCGCCTCCCTGCTCACCCGGAGTTGTGCGGAGGCCAGTGAGTGGGCTGAGCCAGAGTCCTGCGCATCCCGGGGTCCCCTGCTCTGAAGCCTTCTCCCCCTTCAGCCCAGTTTTTCTAACTGCAGGGCAGCAGCGGAAGGAAACCCCGAGTTGAGCCGGCATCATGATTCATGATCACACGTGCGAGCCCAGCCTGAGCGTGCAGCAGGACCTCGCAGGGAAAACCCGAGAATGGTGGTGCAGTGCCGAGACCTCAGCGCCCGGGAGGCTGAGGCAGGAGGGTCCTAGAGAGGTCAGCCTGGGCTGCCTAGTTCCAGTCCACCCTGAGTGACATAGCAAGACCCTGGCTCCAAAACCGAATAATAACAATAGAAAATTTAAAAAGCAAAAAAGGGGCTGGAGTGCAGCTTAGCAGAAAGGCCTGGGGTTCAGTGCCCAGTACCCCCCATGCCCAGATGTGACTTTGATGGTACCGAAGGCACTATCAGACCCCTCTCCTGTGAGGGGAGGAGGGCACTTGTTCAGGGACCGAAAAAGGACTGCGAGAGGCGACCTGACCCGCCGTGGGGAGCCCCGCTGTGGGGGACCCCGCTTCCCCGGTTCCCAGGCTGCGGTACACGAGGCCCTGGTTTTCCGGTGGCTTCAGTCCCAGCCTCCCCGTCCTGCCAGTGCGGAGCTCGGACATGCCACGTTCCGGGGCTGCTTGCCTACATTAGGGGCTGGGCACCTCTCTATGGTCAGCGTCCGTTGCACTGCGACCTGCCCGCCACTTGTCACACTCAGCTGGCAGCTGTTAGACCACAGGACCCAAGCTCTGTGACTCCCGCTCACTGCTGAACTTGGAACCGAGTGTGTCCTGGGCTCCCATGAGTGGATAAGGAAACTGTGGCCAGGTGTGGTGACACAGACCTGTTATTCCAGGGCCAAGAGGGTCCAAAGCTCCAGCCCTGCCAGGTGCCCTTGTCACAAAATAAAAATCAATGGGCTGGGATGCAGCTTAGTGTGAAGGAGCCAAAATCCCCAGTACCGCAAGACAACGACCATTGAGTGACTGGGATTTCAGTAAACTAATGTTTGTTGGTTTCATCTTGTTCAGGAGCTCACCACACCTATTAGGTGTTTTGTGTCAGTTTGGCTCCCTGGACACTGAGAGATGAGAACATGGGCCTTGGGCAGAATCATCCAGGGCCACACAGCTGTCAGTGCAGACTCCAGCCTGAGGTCCCCTGTGTCTCTGCAGGGCTGAGATCTCCAACTGCATTATACTCGGCATTGCCCAGCAGGCCGACCCAGATGGCCTGTGGTGCCCAGTCTAACCCACAGAGCCGCCTTTGCCCCTGCCAAAGCTGTGCCAACCAGCTGTGCACACAGGCATGGCTCCACACCGCCTGCCCTCCAGCCATGCTCATCTCTGGGAAGCTGCTCAGCGTTTAGTGTAGGGGGAACCTTAATTCACGGGGGGACCGTAATGTAAGAGGAATCTGGAAATCCGTAAAGCCAGCCTGGAGTTACAGAGTAAATTCAAGACCAGCCTAAACTACATAGTGAGACCCTGTCTCAAAGAAACAAACAAAAAAAAGAACAAAACAAAGAAACAGCAGTTGACAGCCTGGTACAGGGACCTCACCAGAACCTAGCCTTGCTGGCATCCCAACTGCCAACTTTGAGCCTCTAGAACTGTGGGACATAACTTTATGCTTTTGTCATTTGAGACAGGGTCTCGCTATGTAGTTCAGGCTGGCCTTGAACTCACCGTGTAGCCCAAGGTGGCCTCGAACTCACAAGGATCCTCCCGTCTCAGCCTCCTGAGTGCTGGGATTACAGACCTGTGCCACCATGCTGGCTCTAACCAGACCTTCAAGGTTTAGGGCATAGATGCCTATCAGGGAGGTCCCTAAAGATAAGCCCCAGGTGCAGGACATTTTGTAAAAATTGTAAGTGAGGCATTGTTTGGGAAAACTATAGAACTTACCTCAGGAGGAAAAAAAATGTGCATGGGTTGTGCCCTTCTAAGGGTCTGCAGGCTCCAGGAAGATCAAAGAAAGAAGGAAGGAAAGAAACTAGATCAGACTGGTCTGGAACTCATAGCAATCCTCCTGCCTCAGCCTCCAGATTGCTGGAGTTACAGGTGTGGACACCGCCGATTTAAAGAAAAAAAAAGGGTCTGGTTAGGAGTCTAGCAATCAGGAGCTGCTGCAGCCTGCAAAGGAGGCCCAGGCAGAGTGAGAAGGGCCCACAGCTGCAGGTGCCGGCTGAGCAGACGGCTCGCCCAGGACCAGCTACTGCAGCCCCACTGCAGCTCCGGAGCCCCTGGAGTCTCGACCTTTGACCCATAGGGTCTCGGGATGAATCATTTGCTTTGCCTTGAGCGGAACCTTGCAGCCCTCTGCCCTTGGTGACCAAGGGCATGGCTACAGCGATGACCAGCTGCCGTGTGCTCACATTGTGCCAGCTTGAGTCCCAGGAAGACCGTGACCGGGATTTCTAAATCTGGATGGCTAGAATCTACTTGCTGAAGTATACTTATTTATATATAATGCCACTTAAACTTTACAGTTGTTGTTTTTTGTTTTTTGCAACAGGCTAGATGAGGGCTGGCCACAGACTTTGAGTGATTGTCCTGTCTCAGCCTCCTGAGTGCTGCAATTTCAAGGGTGTGTCACTATACCCAGTATCAGCCAAGTTTTAAGCTTTTTCCAAAACCAAAGAGGATCGGGACAGCCAGGGACTTCGAAGCTGTTTCGCTGTGAGCCATGGCTCTTCCCTGGGCCTGCAGATCCCCAGTCAAAGCCTCACTGTCCAGCGGGTCCTGTCTGCTCCCATTGTGGGGATGGAGGGTCTGTCCAGGAGCTTGAGGGCAGGGCTGGTTAGGCCTGAATGATCAGGACCTTGCCCCCCTCCAGATTGAGGACCCTGAGATAAGAGCTGGGGAGGACCTTGGCTCCACTCGGAAGTCTCCAGCCACTGTCCCAAATGGGTGACCGTGGACAGGTGGAGCCCCCAGTGACTGAGATCCCTGAGTTCTCTGCTGGGAACAAAGCTGATCCCTGGCCATTAAGATTCCAGACTGATGACACCAGGCCCAGGACACCAGCCACCTGGTGAGCCCTGGAAACACCCCTTGCTGGCGGGGACTCTGAGGCCTGCACCAGAGCGCGCCCTTCAGGGACCTGAGCCGGAGTCTTTCCTGTCTCCCCTCTTCCTGCTCACTTTCCAGTTAAAGCTTTTTTCCTGTTTAAAAACAAAAACACACCAAAGAACATGACTTATCACCCAGTTATACAGAATTGACACCCAGTGAAAGCAACTTGCAAAGAAGGGTGTCACTTGTCATGGAGCTTCAGCAGGGCCTGGGCAGGATGCAGGTGACCACTGTCCCCTTAACCCAGAGAGCACCGTGAGTCCTCCTCCTGGGTGCCCCAGAGCCATAAGAGTGGGTGTTTCTACTCAGTGTATGACCAGGGAAATGATAGCTAGGTCTGGAAAGAACTGGGCATAGTGACATATGCCTATAATCTCAGCACTCAGGAGGCTGAAGCAGGAAGGTTTTTGTGAGCTCAAGGCCAGTCTGAATTACATACTAAAACCTTGTCTCAAAAACATCAAAGATATGGGCTGGGGATTTAGCTCAGCGGCATAAGCACCTGCCTGGCAAGCCTGAGGTCCTGAGTTTAATCCCGCTTACCCCCCCTGCAAAAAAACACCAAAGATCTTGGAAACAGCCAAAATGCCCATCAACTGATGAATGGATAAAGAATAGTGTTTTTACACAATGGAGTACTACTCTGCCATAAAGAAGGATGAGTTTGAGCCATTTCTAGGTAAATGGATTCACCTTGAGACTGAATTCTTAAGTAAACTAAGGTGGATGCACATGTAAATCCCACATTATTCCTCTAGTGTGAGAAACTGAGAGGGTAAATACGGACCACAGGTATCACAGGGAATGTAAAACAGGAAGATGTTTAGATGGGAAAGGGAATGGGAAAGGGAGAGGGCAAGGAAAGAAGGGAAGAGGTGAAAAAGGAGAGAAAGGAAAACATGGAAACAAAGCTTTTGTAATGAGCGGAAGAGGGGCTGCAGGGAGGGGAGAGGAATGGGCAAAAAGTACTAAGATATGTTGGGGTCCGTGCCTAGACCTCCAGTCCCCCAAACAGGTGCACGGCAAAGGCTCAAAGGGATGAGACCCGCGGCGTGGTCTTCAGGGCTGCAGGAGGAGTGAATTCCTCGGCAGAGCCCGGAACTCTGCCAGCCGCCAGCTGACTGACGCTGGGCGGCCCGTATTTACCCAGAACAAGCCAGGAGCTGAGTGGACAATGGCAGAGACCTGAGCGGGACCTCGGGAGGGGCTCAGGGACCCCTCAGAGCATCAGACGATGCTAAATAAGGAAAACTATCCAGAACGTCTCCCAGTGGCCTCAGCTGTGGCCCATCTTGCCCCCTGAGGTGTCCCTCGTTCTCAATTCAGCCATACCCAGGCCACGCCACAGCCCTGCACGTGTATTCAGCCTGAACGCTCTCCAACAAAGATACGTCATGTACAGATGCAAATTTCCTGTGATGAATGTAATCATTGTACATATCTAAAACAGGTGACTAGTTTTTTAAAAAAGCAAAGAAAACAAAAGCTCAAGGTCTGGAAGGCTCAGGAGAAATGCTGCAGCTTCTGTAAGGACAAAAGTTTGTGAGGTCGCTTGGCAGCCTCTGCAGTAAGCAGAGGGAGCCCCGCTCTGGGAGTGGAAGCAAGTGGGGGCCTGCTTTCTGTCTCCAGCTCGGTCATTGTCATTGTGTGAGCTCAAATCAGGGCTGAAACACTTCCCCTCTACATTGCCACCTGTGAAATGGGGCTAATG